TTTTTTTAGTTTGATATAAAACGTAAATCTAAAAAGAAATAGTAATGATGTTCTGACTGAATAGGCTGTGATGCACCTGTGCCACAGCAGCCTTTACTTCTAAAAGCAAACCTACACTTTGACATGTTATACTAGCGTACTGACCTGAGATGGACCCACTGTTCAGTGAGTTTGGCCAGCCGTCGCCTCTGTTTGAGGAGCAGCTTGAAGAGGTGAGAGGAGAAACCTCTGCATCGCTCTACATTCCCCAAACCCAGCTCCTACAGCGAACATTGACACACATGCATCACAATGAAGATAACACATGCTAAACTTTAAGTTCCTCATTGTGATGCTTGATTTTCATCTAGTTCATAGGTACAAGTGTAAGTTGTGCATGTCGCACCTTGGCAGCGTGCTGCAGAGCAGTCTGCAGGGCAGTGTTCCTGGCCCAAGACTGATAGAAGTACTTCTGACAGCCATCCCATGCTGTCAGCAACTCAGCAAACAACCTACAGTAGGAAAAAAGAGAAAACAGTGTCTCACTGAAAAACCAGAGCATGTCCACACAATTACAGGCGACGCTGTAGTTGTCCTTTGAAGCTCTTTTAATCTCTTCATTGTGCAGTATGTCACTGGCCATCTGTTCTGTAAAGCAATAGCTAGCTACACGTGTTGCTTGTTTGATAGAATCCATCCACACACTTCACAATTACATCTGTTCTTGAGTGTTGGAGTGTAATTCGTTTAATGTTGAGGTAACTACTGAAATATTAAAATTTACATTAATATTGTGGCTTACTCAATGTGGCTTACTTCTGTGTTTGTTTTAATAACTTCAAAATAAAAGCACTGTTGCACGACAGAAAGACAGAACCCTCATGCACGCATGAGGCACTGATTCAGAACAAGGCCTCTGTGAATAAGTTCTAATTACATGCTCTCTGCATTCTCCTGAGTCTTGACAGCTGAGAGAGCGGTCGTCATCTCCAGCGGCTGCATGTACAGAGCCTTCTCTGCCTTTGCTGTCCTGTTCCATATTAGGCCTTTGCGGTACGACAGACCTTAAAAGCCAATCATACAGAAAAAAAAATTAATTCTATTTAAAAAAAAGTATATAAGTTAATTGAAAATGTAAGTCAGTGTGGGGAACCGACCTATTTCTGTGAGCATCTTGAACAGGTCAGACAATGCCCTCTGTTTCTGCTGTAGGATGTGCTTTATCTCAGCTTTCTGCTTGTCTTTATCTGCTGATGTGTTTATTGTGAGGCTCTGCAGGTCCCGCAAGTTGCTGATGA